GGAACTATATTAGCAATTCTCCAGTCAAATGGTACAACCCCTGAGTTTAGAGTTTTATTAAAAAATTTTGCTAATGGACTTGCAAGTTCATGTGCCAGTTCCTTTAATATTCTTGGATGAAGATTATCTGGGCCCCCCGATTTACTCCCAGTAAGCTGTTCAAGTTTGGCTTTTACCTCGGATATGGTAATATCTACCTCCATATCTTTAGTCCCATTTGTTAAGTTACCATTATCCCTGTATACTTGAAAGTAGGAATAAGAAATCCTCCGGAAAAGGGCTTATTTTCCGGAGAATCGCGTCTAGACTGGCGCTTTTCTCTGGCTTATCCCCAAGCCGGAAAAAAGCGGCAGCCATGTAAATGCAAATGCCGCGGGGGATATTTAAATCCCCCGCGGATTTGCAATTCCGAAGTGTCTAATCTGCATCCTTTTTCTGGAAAAGGGGTGCAGTGTAGACACAGCCGAAGTGTTTGGAAAAAAGCGGCAGCCATGTAAATGCAAATGCCGCGGGGGATATTTAAATCCCCCACGGATTTGCAATTCCGAAGTGTCTAATCTGCATCCTTTTTCTGGAAAAGGGGTGCAGTGTAGACACAGCCGAAGTGTTTAGGCCGGTTACTATTACATACATAATTATAGTATTTATAAAGGCACATTATATTTATTTAAAAAATTCAAGTAACTCCCTCATTCTCTACCCTAGTTTATAATCAAATTCCCAGACAGAGAGAGCATCCCACCTCCCAGAAATATCCTTACACATACTCTATAATCTCTTAGAAGGATTTTTGACAATTAATCCACCTCCTAGTCTGACATGCTTACACTCACATCACCTGTATAAAGTCATGTAAGGTAGCAGAAGGGAATGTTAAATAGAGGCTTAAGTATCACATGTCTAACAATTAAACCTTGCTGTGGTGGTGAAATATAGAGCCACAAGATGCAGTATACAACATAAAAATGGCTACTCAACTCCTGAAGAGCAACAGAATAATTTAGCGTTTTATGACTAAATACATCATGCAAGTTTCCTGTCCCAGTTACTTTTTTGGGATTGTTTACCTACTAGTAGACACAGCAGTGCAGGATTCCCATATAATGATGTGCACTTTACACGTGAGTATGGAGGACACCTAAAATTAGGAGAATGATTTCATTTCCCTTTCATTCAGTCTCTGACTTCTTAGCAGATTTGCAACAAAAATGCCAAATATGTTGGTTATTTTTGTGGACATTGTTCAGTAGGAACTGGTTCAAAAAACACACAGAACAGCCTTCAGAAGGTAGTCAAGATATCTGAACTAATGTCCTAGAGGTGTTCTATACCTGGTTCTCGTTACATGATACAGAACATGAAAATGCTAAGTGTTAATTTTCATGCATATGGTTATGATGTCCAAGTTTTTATTTGCTGAGCTGGAAAAAGAAAGAATTCACATCCATTATCTACAGCATGAATGATTTTTCCCACTTCGCTCATTTTTCTGCATTCTTTAGACCATGTTTTTCAATTTCTCACAAGAGTTTGTGCACTTAAATGCTTGAACTATTCTTTGTAGTCCTGTAGAATAATGAGCGTTCTCCGTTAAATATATTCTGAGAGCAGATGTAGTACTCTACTATAAGTGGGTCCAAATCCACACCAGAGAAGTGTCATTATTACACTATAATAGATGCAGTATTATTTAGAGGGAACAAGTGATGCACTGAGATTTTCTTTGGATAAAAAAAAGTTATTGTTTTTCAGCACTCACTGTTCCATCACTACAGAGTCACCTCTGGGTCAGCTTACTGGATTTCCTTAGCATCAAAAAAGTAAGCCATTACATGGTGGATGTTTGTGACACTGTACCTCAAAGTAGCACCCTGGAACATATACCTCTGTCACATGATTCCATTTTATAGAAAGCTATGCACTGTGAGGTATTAAAAAAAGTCTTGCTCAGTTGAATCTTATTATGCTGTTGGACTGTATGCATGTATTATTATTGTAGGTGAAGTTACAAAGTATTGCTTTATGTGCTACTGAAATATATTGTAAGGTTGGGCAATGCTCACAGCTAGCTTTTCATTGCAACAAAGGAAGACCTATCAAGTGTTAATGGCTTATCAAGAAGCATCCATTGTCCCAGAAACTTCTCAGTGAAGGCAACTACACAATGAGGGCAGCCTAACCCATGTCCCAGAATGGATCTTTCTAGCAGCTGGAAAACCATATAAAATAAGCACAGTGACATCTCTCCTGGCCCATCTCAACATCTGGGAGATCTTCTGGAAGACAAAGACTTTGAACTATGGACATTGATCCCAGCCTGGAAGAGGATCCATCTGCACACTGAGGAACTAGCAAGATGTTTGTACCATCTGCTAGGGTGAGGGACTGTTGATTAGTCTGTTTGTTAGAATTTAGACTGCAAAATTATGTTTATTTCTTAGGTAACCAACTTTGATCTCTATTCCTGCTACTTATAATCACTTAAAAATCTATCTGTACTTAACAAATCTGTTTTATATTTTACCAAACACTGTGTGTTTTGATCAAAGCGCTTGGAGAATCTCAGCTCAGATTACAAAGACTGGTTCATGTTCACTTTCCCATGAAAATGCAGCAAATTAATTACTGAGTTTGCATAACCTAAGGGCGTTCAGCAGTTGCTGAAAGATCATTTATATAATTTAATTGGGTGTGTCCCTGTCTGTGGATGGCTGTTTAAATGCAATTCCAATCAAAGGTTGTAACTTAATATTAACATCAGTGATTGGGGTGTAGTAGCCCCACACTGGGAAAGCAAGGCCAAACCAGGCTAAGCTGGCTGAAGAAATCCTGCCTCTGCAGCCCTGCTGGGCATGCTTGAAGGCCTGGAGAGAAGGTCAGTCTGGGCTGGCTGCTGAGGAGGAAGGAGATACTACCAGAGCTCCTGGATGCAATCTGCCAGTGGGAATGGGCCCGGAGACCCACCAGCCAGTGAGATGCTGGAGATACTGCCAAGGATCTGGAGAAAGGACCCTGGAAGGTGTCCAGCAGAGACTGGTAGGAAGCAGAATGAAGTGGGAGATTGTATCCTGAGGAGCTCAGTGTGTTGCGGTGAGATTCCCCTTTCTGGACTGTGCCTCTGCTAATAGGGTCCTGGGCTGGGTCCCATTGGGGTAGGGAGGGCCTTGGTCCTCAATCCTGAACTTGTGGGGCCTGCACCCTGTGCTACAGACTCCAGGTGCTAGGCCTCATTGCCCCCAGCAAAAGGGGCATGGGTTTAGAACTGCAGTTGAGTTTCAGTACATGTGGGGTTGGGGCATGGTTCCAAGAACCCCAGGGATGTTACAGATCCCCCTGAGGGAGGGGCGAGTGCATCACCCAGCAACAGCATCAGTGTAAAGGGTAGCCCAGGCTGGTGTGTTGTGAGGGCACAGAGGTCCCACAGTCCAGGTTGTACCTGGGGACCCTCTCACTCAGTTTAAAGAAACAGTACAATTTTCCAGGATGCAGGATAAAGAATTGTATTGAGTTTAGATACTTCTTAGGGAAGTAGCCTGTAGTTCATTTAGAGTTCAACCTGTAGTTCTTTTTTTTTTTTTTTTTTTTTTCTTATACCACTTTTCATAATAGGAAGAGTTCTTTCTACAGCTTATATGGTAACTTTTTCTATTATGGAAACAATCTTGTGTTTAGAAATTTTCAGAATTGCAAAGCTGACTTTTTTGCTTTGTATTCAGCGGTGATCTTTGAAGGTGATTTACTCATATGCATTACAAGAAGCTGTACCAAAAGAACAATTAAAGCTATAAATTGTGTTGAGTAAAGTATAGTAACCACTGTGAATTGAGAAGGGACTGTGCCAGGTTTATATCTTAAAATGGGTATTAACTGGGACCTCTTTGGCTGTTATGTTAGCATTACTTTCAGATATACCTTATTGAATCTATTTTATGTAGTTGGCTGACTTGAGTCACTGAAATACTTTTATTATTTACTTACCTAATGGCTAAATGTGTACTATGCACTTCAGAGCAGATAGGCATAGTTCTTAACTAAAGAGCTCATACTCTCATTTTAAATAAGATGTAGTCAGGGCCAGGGAAACAAATGTTACACTAGTAAGATATTGTGGTTACTAGTGCTTTTCATGCATAGAAATGGACAATTACATTACTTTTAGAATTAAGAGGATAATTGCCATTTTTTAAGCTTTGTAATAAAATGAGATTTTTTTTAAAAAAAGGAATCCCTTCCTATACAAAATAAATCCATATCAGTATCTTTCTATATATAGTTTCCATATATCCCAGCATAGTTTCAAGAGTCTCCTACAAGCATCTGCAAATGACTTGCAATCTTCTGAGATTTCTTCAGTCCAGAATGGGACCCAAGTGTTCCAAAAACACCTTGCTTGAAAGTCCTTTTGAGTCTTCTTCCTGGTTCCCTAAATTTTTCCATTTCACTGTTCACTTTACCATTCATTTCAGGATGCACTAAGACGTCCATATTCTTCTCCCAAAATCTAAGAAGATATTGACTCATTGTAACAGCTACACATTTAATGCATTATTACAACCTGTTCTATTCAGCAGGTACTCCCCAAATCCCAAGCCTTTATTTGCCAACTTTGCTCTGAGCCCTGATCTACACTAGGGAATTATTTCGAAATAATGCTCCTTATTTCAAAACAACAAGTGGAACTTCCACACTACCAAGCCTGTTATTTTGAAGTACGAGGCTGGTTATTTCAAAATAACTCCTTTCCATGAGGAATAATGCTTATTTCGAGATAGCGGTATTGTGGATGCTCCACTGCTGCTATTTCAAAATAATGACTCCCCAGAGACTTTCAAAGTAATTATTCCCCCATGCTTCCCAGGGTTCTAAGTTGAGATAGCATGTCCATATTAGCCTACCTCAAACTAATTTTGAGATTTTCCTGTGCCTGCCTCAAACTAATTTTGAGATTTTCCTGTAGTATGGACATGCTATTTCAAAACAGTTATTTCAAGACTCATTTTGAAATAAGTTATTTTGAAATAATTTGCTAGTATAGACATACCTTTACTGTTCTCCTGAGGAACATCAAGCACAATAGTCTCAATTTTCTCTCTTGCCTCCTGCAAACTACAAAACAGAGAACTAATAAAAATATTTAGGCCATCCAGTGTTTTAGTTCCTTATTTTGTTGTTTTTCTGTTTCTAAAGTACACTTTAATTCTCTTATCTGCCCCTTCATTAACTAGTTTGATTACTTAAAGCCAAGCAGGTCTCATAAAACCCTTGCATTGCATGTGTTTCAGCTCCTGATCTTTCCTGTCTTTGTTTTTTCCCCTCTGTCTATAGTTCAAACAGTTTCCAAGGACATTGTCATCAGCTGCTCCCAGAGCAAATAAAATGGTTCTGTAACCAATAACATACCTCATTATAGCATACTGAAGCATTTTCCATTTGTTGGCTGACATTATTTCCTCTTCCTTATTTCACTAGCACTTCGTTTATTATTACACTATTTCAAGGTCTTTCTTTCTCTGTCACCTATTTTCCCTTAAGGTATCCAGCTGAAAATATGTCGGGATACGCGATACACCCAAACTTTGAGTATCACAAAGTCAAAAACCTCTGTACTGATCTCAGTTTATTCTGTAATAATTACAAGTCTTACTAGCCAAAGGATTAGAGGCTCTCTGAGACAGAAATTTCTGTCTATTTGCTGGTTAAGAAAGAAGGCTCAAATACTTCCCAGGAAGAGCTGGATGGACTGACACCAGCCAGACACATGACTGGAGTTGGAGATGATTTCTGGTACTCTTTAGCATGCATATTCCTTTATTGTTTTAATGTGTTTTCTCTGTGATGCTATCACCGTAAGAATACATCTATTTACTTATAAAGAGTTGTGTGATAATGTATAGATGGGTATTTACCTGTCACAGCCTCTTAGGAGAAACAAGAGTGTAATGCTGGCTTCTCTTGGACGTCTAACTTGCAGGGAATAAAACTGTGTAGGCAGGAAACTATGCAGCCTGGAAAAACTCCAGTCAGGGGAGGAAAAGCGACTTGGGTCTCTGCCAAAGAGAAGTGACATATGAGGAACTAGGAAACTAAAACTAGGTGCCCTTGTGTAATGCTGTCAGTAATAATCCTACCTGGGACCTCCAGAGCTTAGTGCATGAGCCTCTACTGTATGCGCTAAAAGACAGCTGGCTCCCAGCTAAGGCTACAGAGCAGACTCATTACTCTCTCTGAGGCATAAGGATCTTGCGCAAAAGGGGGGTTTTGCGCAAAAAGGACCTGTCTACACTGCTTGTTTTTACGCAAAAACCTGTAGTGCAAAAAGCATCGGCAGAGAATATGCAAATGACAGTGCGACAAATGCTAATGAGTGCTCATTAGCATACTCTCCGCCGCAATGTAGACGTAGCCTCTGTAAGTGGTGTCAGAGCCACTAGGTGGGACAGTACACCACTCCCAGAAGGTGTGTGCCTTACACTTGCTCAACCAAAGGGAAAATACAGGTGTTCCCATTTCTATAAAGACAGGAAACCATTTTGTGGCTTTAGCCACTATGCCCTTTTTCTGTCACACTTCCCCTTTTTCTTGTACACCTCGCTCAGTCCCATATGCTGAACTCACTGCTGTGGTGTGTGCACTGGAACGCTTTTTTACTTCTAATCTACAATTGCTCTTTCTCTCTGATGTTCTGTAGGTCTGCAGCATTCTTACAAAATTCATTCCCTTCTGGCACTTTCACAAGTTTATATGCTCTGATGATTTTTCCTGGCTCATGCATCAATTCTTTCCTCTATTGCTTCCTTTGCTTCTCCTCTACCTTTGTTGTTCTAAAGGTTCAAATCCATAGTAAAACCAGTTCCATTTCATTTTGAAAACTCTGTTGCCTACTCTTGCAAAATAGGCTGTTCAAAGGGGTCAAGAAACAGATCTTGATACAGAACAGATTCTACATGTCTGTTACTGTAGCTAATACTACAGGGGCTGTACCTGTGTTAGCAGTCAGCATCACAAAGAAGGCAAACACAACAGAATCAGGACATAGTGTTATTAGAAGCAGTTAAACAGGTGCAGGAGGGAAAAGAATGGTCATAAGATTCTCCATCAAAACCTCATGAATCAAAATTGGCTTGAGCAACAGAAAGCTGTTTGCTCAGGCACATGAGCTCTGAGACACAAGAATGGGTGGTGCCAGAAAACATTCAGAGGGATTTAATTTCCTCAGTCCATCTTGTACTTTCAAGAGGACACCCAGAGATAGACAGACAATGTAGACTTTGGCAACATTAGGCTGGTGTTCAGAGATGACCAGGAGATACCTTTCTTGGGGACAGGACCCATCTTATTAGAAACAGAAAAGAAATAATGTGGGATTTGATTATTAGAAATACAGATAGTTGGGTTTCTGATGAGGAGAACCACCCGGTGAATTGCCTGCTTAGTGAGAAGGTTGCAGGCCTCTCAAGACATCTAGTCAGATGTGTGCGCCATGCTGGGGAGTAGCCAATGCTCATGGTACATTTAGGTATCAATAACATATGAAAAAGTTCAGAGAGAGGTACTAGAGACCAAATGTAGGCTGCTAAGTAAGAAATTAAAGTCCAGGACTTCCATGTTAGTATTTTTAGAAATGTATCCAGTTAAGAGCAGGGCCAGTTAGAACTCCAGGGCCTCACTGTGTAGATGAAATGGTGTCTGGAGGAAAGACTTGGGTTTATTAGGAACCTTTTAGGAAAGGGGGAGCCTATACAGGAAGGATGGACTCCACCTACACCAAAATGCAACCAGATTGGTGACATTAAAAATTCTCCCACAAACTTTTTAATTTTACAACTAAAGGTTGAAGGAAACCGACAGGGATGGAGAAAACCATGGCTTGAGCCTATGATTTGGACAGATTTCCCTAATGAGATAATTTATTAAAGATGATAGTCTATATCCTAGTAAAGAGGAAAGGATAGAAGTTGAAAAAGCACAGGTAGGAGCTTAAAAGAAATAGCCAAATGAAAAGAGACCCATTACATTTCATCACATGAAGACAGACAGTTAAATGTTGACAAATTTTATAAGTGTTTCTATGTAAATTCAAGAAATTTCAA